TAACCGAACAAAAAGGATTTGTTGTTGTTGGACGTGATGTCACCACTAATATCTTACCTGATGCTGAGGTTAAGATTATGTTTACAGCAGATCTCGAAGTCTGTACTTTAAGAAGAGCGAAAGAATATGATAGTGAAGATTACACAAAAATTTTTTTTAATATTTTTTCTCGAGATTTATTTTCATATCCTTTATTAAAACAAGCTGAGAAAGTATCAAATCAAATTGATACTACACAATTAGATATTTCTCAGGTGGTCAATAGAGTTTTTTCTTTAGTTTGTTAGAAAATATTTAAGATTAGATATGAACGTTATTTCGGATTTTTTTTTATTCTGATTGTTTTATTAATAATAAAAATAACAAATCTTAATCTAGTTAGTCTTTGGACCAACTAGAATTTTTTGTATGTAAATTGTAAATCTTAAACATGTCAGATACTCAAAAACCTCAAAAACCCATTCAATTTACCGAATCTGAACTAGACGATTTAGTTGAAAAAAAAGGTTATGAAATAGCCAATGAGATTGAGGATGAAACTTTAGATAAGTTAAACGAAGAAATTAATATTATCGATGAACTAGAGTCTGTCTACAAGACAAAATTATTCCTGTTGAAAGATTTAGAGAAACAAATCAAACTGCGATTTCCAAACAAATATGAAGCGTTTGTGAAGAATATGACTGGGATTAAGACTGGATCCAGTTTTCAACATCGTAAAATTTACGATAAATTAAATGAACCAAATACCAAGAATGCCTTTACTCAAGAAGAAATTGAAAAGTTCCTTGATATGAAGAATTACGAGGTTGCAACAGAAATTGAAAAGAAAGCTTATGAGAAGGCTATTAGCGACAAAACATCACGAAAAATATTCTTGAATAAATACTTGAAGTTATGTAATCGTTACGATCAAAAGTTAAAAAATACTGAAAAAAGATTACCAAACAGTAGGAATCATCCATATTGGTCAGAAGTAAAAGATATTAAAGATAACATTGCGGGAGCTAAAACAGCTTACAGTTTCACGCCCAAAAATATTCAAAAGGCGCTTGATGAACTTGATAATTAATTAGTTTTTTATTTTTATTTTTTTATGTTTATTATTATTATTTGTTATTTTTATATCATTATCTATCTATTCAGTCTTTGACCGGATAGAATGTTTTATGTGTAAAAAATGAATCTCACAAACAATTTACAATTGCTTCAAGAGCTAAACAAAGCTTTTAATTCCAATATAAAGAAACGAATTTTCGATAATTACACTATACTTGTCAGATATAGTGAACGGATTCACCAATTACCGAAACATGATTATCGAAACATACCTTATCATAAACCTTTTAACAAAAGACGATTCAATAATTTAAAAGAAAAAAGCAAAATTTATTACTGTAAGAGGTATAATGATATACTTACTATTGAAAATTTCTGCTATAAATGTGAGTCGGAAGATTTGGACAATTCAGAATCGATTCGCACAAATTCTCTAAAATCGGATAGTGAAGGTTCGAATTATATTACTGACGATAGGTTTGTTATGATGGATGATATACCCAAGAAATCATCATATATTTAACAGGGTTTTGTTAAAAATGATTATGTGTTTTTTTCCGATAATGAGCTTATGATAGATGATTCTTCTTTTTCTTCTCAAAGTTTACAATGTAATTCTATTTAATTAGTTTAATAAACCGATTAAATTTTTTTCTGCGTAAATTTTTTTTAAAAAAAAATGGCAGTTTACCAGAAATATCAAAACGCATTCAAAAACTACCAATCGATTTTAAATTTAAATAGCGAATATTATACATTTTTAAATAGCTTTATCAAAGCAAAAAATTACAGTATTTTAATCGATTTAGATAAAGCCACAACCCAAATCGAGTCTGCGCTCGATGTGAACACAAATCTTCTTATTCAACATAAGAAAATTATGGATGAAATTGAATCAACCTGAAAAGAATTTTCTCTTTGCATCTTGGTGAATCCTGCTCCAAACAACACTATTTGGTTAAATTGTCGTAATAATCCCGAAAAACATTACTACAATCTGTATCAGTTGGTTGGTGGGTTGGTCGAACCCAACAAGACATTTGAATCATGCGCTTTTAGGGAAGTTCGTGAAGAAGCTGGGATTAACATCAAGGAATTGAATTATATCTGTCAATACGAAGGATCTTGTGTTTTTCCCGGCAATACTGAAGAATCTCTATATAAAACTCTTGTCTATTTCTCGATTCTCAAACCTAACCAACTTCCGATTCGAACTGAACCGACCAAAAGTGATGAATGGATTCAATGTACTTTGACTGAGTTTGAAAAAAATTAATACATGTTAACACCAACATTGGAAGTTAAAAAGAAGAAGATTATTGAAATGATTAAAACTAAACTAACTCAATATAACAGGAAGAGAAAACGTGTTAGCAAGGAGGGAAAAGAAGAAAAAGAGGAGGTGAATAGTGTCAATTCGAAATTGAATGAAGGCAATTTGGAAGTGAATGGAGTTTTGTCAGCTTCGAGTCCTGCATAGTTTTAGTTTTATTTTTTTTTTATACATTTGTTTTGTCATTTTTTTTTTTTATTATTAAAAATAAATACTCTGTTCAGTGCTTTACCGAACAGATTTTTAACTACGTAAAAATGACTACTGTGAAAAAAGTAAGTTGCCGAAACTCAATTTTACTTAGTAATATTATTGTTTAGTGTACGCTTTTCTATATTGTATTAGGGAATTATTCTGAGTAAAACTATTTGATTAGTTTCGAGGATAATTCTTATTTTTGCTAGAAACGCGAGATGGTCTCTTAAGTTATATCTTTTGTAAAGTCGTCCGCTACCTACAGAGAGAATAAACAATTATACTAATATTTAATTTTATTTTAGGTGACGAACTATCAAAAAGGTCATGATTTCGAAATTTTACTTCGTAAAATCTTTAATGATGCTGGGTTTATAGTACAAAAGATTCAAGTTACTGAAGGTGACGGAGGTTTAGATATGATAGTTTCTTATCAAACCAACCAAATTTGTATCCAATCTAAAGATACAGAAAATCCACTAATTTTAAAATATGTCAAGGACTTAGAGTCAACCATGATGCATCATAAA